ACAAGGTCCTCAGTGTGAACATGAGACCCTATACCCTGACAAGATCCTCACACTCAACATGAGACCCTATAATCTGAAAAGGTCCTCACACTGAACATGAGACCCTATACCCTGACAAGGTCCTCACACTGAACATGAGACCCTATACCCTGAAAAGGTCCTCACACTGAACATGAGACCCTATAATCTGAAAAGGTCCTCACACTGAACATGAGACCCTATACCCTGACAAGGTCCTCACACTGAACATGAGACCCTATACCCTGAAAAGGTCCTCACACTGAACATGAGACCCTATAATCTGAAAAGGTCCTCACACTGAACATGAGACCCTATACCCTGACAAGGTCCTCACACTGAACATGAGACCCTATACCCTGACAAGGTCCTCACACTGAACATGAGACCCTATACCCTGACAAGGTCCTCACACTGAACATGAGACCCTATACCCAGAACTGACTTTACAGATACTTGGTCAGACTGAACTTCTCAGACCTGACTTTACAGATACTTGGTCAGACTGAACTTCTCAGACCTGACTTTACAGATACTTGGTCAGACTGAACTTCTCAGACCTGACTTTACAGATACTTTGTCAGACTTAACTTCTCAGACCTGACTTTACAGATACTTCGTCAGACTGAACTTCTCAGACCTGACTTTACAGGTCAGACTGAACTTCTCAGACCTGACTTTACAGGTCAGACTGAACTTCTCAGACCTGACTTTACAGATACTTGGTCAGACTGAACTTCTCAGAACTGACTTTACAGATACTTTGTCAGACTGAACTTCTCAGACCTGACTTTACAGATACTTGGTCAGACTTAACTTCTCAGACCTGACTTTACAGATACTTTGTCAGACTGAACTTCTCAGACCTGACTTTACAGGTCAGACTGAACTTCTCAGACCTGACTTTACAGATACTTTGTCAGACTGAACTTCTCAGACCTGACTTTACAGATACTTGGTCAGACTTAACTTCTCAGATCTGACTTTACAGATACTTTGTCAGACTGAACTTCTCAGACCTGACTTTACAGATACTTTGTCAGACTGAACTTCTCAGAACTGACTTTACAGATACTTTGTCAGACTGAACTTCTCAGACCTGACTTTACAGATACTTGGTCAGACTGAACTTCTCAGACCTGACTTTACAGGTCAGACTGAACTTCTCAGACCTGACTTTACAGATACTTGGTCAGACTGAACTTCTCAGACCTGACTTTACAGATACTTTGTCAGACTGAACTTCTCAGACCTGACTTTACAGGTCAGACTGAACTTCTCAGAACTGACTTTACAGATACTTTGTCAGACTGAACTTCTCAGACCTGACTTTACAGGTCAGACTGAACTTCTCAGACCTGACTTTACAGATACTTTGTCAGACTGAACTTCTCAGACCTGACTTTACAGGTCAGACTGAACTTCTCAGACCTGACTTTACAGATACTTGGTCAGACTGAACTTCTCAGACCTGACTTTACAGGTCAGACTGAACTTCTCAGACCTGACTTTACAGATACTTTGTCAGACTGAACTTCAGATACTTTGTCAGACTGAACTTCTCAGACCTGACTTTACAGATACTTTGTCAGACTGAACTTCTCAGACCTGACTTTACAGGTCAGACTGAACTTCTCAGACCTGACTTTACAGATACTTTGTCAGACTGAACTTCTCAGATCTGACTTTACAGATACTTCGTCAGACTGAACTTCTCAGACCTGACTTTACAGATACTTTGTCAGACTGAACTTCTCAGACCTGACTTTACAGGTCAGACTGAACTTCTCAGACCTGACTTTACAGATACTTGGTCAGACTGAACTTCTCAGACCTGACTTTACAGATACTTGGTCAGACCGAACTTCTCAGACCTGACTTTACAGGTCAGACTGAACTTCTCAGACCTGACTTTACAGATACTTTGTCAGACTGAACTTCTCAGACCTGACTTTACAGGTCAGACTGAACTTCTCAGAACTGACTTTACAGATACTTGGTCAGACTGAACTTCTCAGACCTGACTTTACAGATACTTTGTCAGACTGAACTTCTCAGACCTGACTTTACAGATACTTTGTCAGACTGAACTTCTCAGACCTGACTTTACAGATACTTTGTCAGACTGAACTTCTCAGACCTGACTTTACAGATACTTGGTCAGACTGAACTTCTCAGACCTGACTTTACAGATACTTGGTCAGACTGAACTTCTCAGACCTGACTTTACAGATACTTGGTCAGACTGAACTTCTCAGACCTGACTTTACAGATACTTTGTCAGACTGAACTTCTCAGACCTGACTTTACAGATACTTTGTCAGACTGAACTTCTCAGACCTGACTTTACAGATACTTTGTCAGACTGAACTTCTCAGACCTGACTTTACAGATACTTGGTCAGACTGAACTTCTCAGACCTGACTTTACAGATACTTTGTCAGACTGAACTTCTCAGACCTGACTTTACAGATACTTGGTCAGACTGAACTTCTCAGACCTGACTTTACAGATACTTGGTCAGACTGAACTTCTCAGACCTGACTTTACAGATACTTGGTCAGACTGAACTTCTCAGACCTGACTTTACAGATACTTTGTCAGACTGAACTTCTCAGACCTGACTTTACAGATACTTGGTCAGACTGAACTTCTCAGACCTGACTTTACAGGTCAGACCAAACTTCTCAGACCTGACTTTACAGATACTTTGTCAGACCTGAATTCCCTTCCTGTTATGATTGACATGATTTGTTTCCTTTGTCAGAGGAATGTTACATTTGGATTTGATTCAATTATAACCAACATCCCAAGAACAAGTTTTTACTTATAACACCATCCATTAGTAGAATATCAAAACCAAGACAATGCTAACAGTAAAAAAATTCTCCACCTAGCACATGTATACCTGTATATATCGTAGACTAGGAGGATAATCTACAGAGCCTCTAACAGACATAAGGTTCTCCTCACACAAAGGTTCACACTGATAATGATGAACACATCTCTACAAAACAAGTTCTAAATATAGTAACACCTGATATGTCTGTATATAATGAATTATATATTTGTCTAATGATGGTGGTGGATCACATGTTGTACAATAGACACTCACATACTTTTGATATGACGTTCTACATTCATATATATGTCTGATAATGTACTAGTTTTTACAGTGCATGTACATAACACTTGTGTACAGATAAATCAAACTCTAGCATATTTAACACTCAGGCACATCAATAGGAATTCTTATATCATATATTCTAATAACAAACACATGTAAATAATTTATTGTGTTAGGTACACATCACATTCAACTTCACTACAATGAACTATATAAATACTAGCATATACACAATTTGATATTTACTCATATGAACACAAACATAAAATATAAATATAACACAATGATGAAGTCAAACTTCTCATATACACCAAATTAAATAAAGGATAAATTTTCCCTTTTCTATGGCACTATCTAAATACTGTACACAAATTGAACTCCAGCTGACAAGGAACTTGTCTTTATTCTCCAAATCCTGAAGTAAGATATATATATCTTATTCAATATGATGTGTAGAGTACATACCTTTTACCAATAAAATATACAATTTACCTTATATAATATTGTCTCATCAATATTATACTATCTTTCTGCTTATGTAATACATCAGGTCCATAGGCCTGTATCACTCATCTGGTTTGATTTAACTGGAAGCACATTATCCAATCTCGTCGAGAAATATTATGAAAGGTTTACATCTATCTTCCTTATTGGGCCCCTCCCCTTAACCCCTAACATGTTTAAACTCATTTCTACAAAGGAATTTTTTTTAAAGAATTGGCTAAACTTGTATACCTCCTATTTGGCCCCATCCCTCAGATGGTCCAGATCCTACGTTTATAGAAAATCGGTTTGCTTTTCCCATGGATGCCTCTGATCAAATGTGGCCAAAATACATTTATCCCAACAGAATTGGTTTTTCTTTTCCTAAGGATGCTTCTGATCAAATGTGGTCCAAATACCTTTATCCCAACAGAAGAAGAGATATCTCATATTAATTCCTCTACTTGATGATGTTTCAAATCAAATTTTGACAAAAGGAGAAGTATTTGAAATATTTGGCACTATTGCTACAAAAGGCTCCATCCCTCAGGCCCTAGGGGTCCAGGTTCATACAAAGGAGGCTCTGAGACCAAATTTGGTCCTTAAATTGCAAAGAGTTTGAAGCGTTAGCTTCAACCAGAAGTACGAACATTAATCCCACCAGCCAGTTTAAGTATGAGCATGTGCAGTGAAGTTGTTGTAGTTGTTGAACACAAAACAAATGGCTGGTTGTGGCAGTTCACCGACTTGCTGAGAGAGATTATCTATTGAATCACTAGAATTGGAGCCAGCTAAGAACAAGTTAGTGAGCAGCAGAAAAGGTGATACAACATTAAAGATTGAACTATTGAAAGGTAGAAGACAGAAAACAGAGCCGACTCACTTCAGACTAAGAGATCTTGAAAAAAAATTACCCAAATATGATATTAATATATATAAAATAAAAGACAGTTTTTTTATGCATGACTTCAATGTTCTTGTTTCCTCAGCATCTGATTTTAATATTTCTGTTTTAATTACTTGTGCTTAATAATTAAGATTTTTTAATGATTAAAATATTCATGTTTGATAAATTCTGATTAAGTGACAGACAAATGTTAAGAGGTTAAGAGATTTAAATGAAGTAGTAGTGAGATTCATAAATATGTACGAGTATATGAGGTTATATTCACAGGTCTATTTCGTGTCATTTACAGTTTTGTGAAGTGACATTCACAACTTTGCAAGGAAATGTTCACAAGTACAAACATTTATATTCACTTTTAACAAACTGAAAGCCAAATATCCTCAGCACTTTCTATCTCACTCAAATCATTTAATGTCAAGAGATCTTTACTTCTCTATATAAAATCTAATCTATAGAGATCTGTGTAGAATTTTATGCTTTTACTATGAGGTAAGGAAATCGTAATGTCTGTGGTTTTCAGTTTCAAAAATAAATACTATTCATTTGCCCTTGAATAGCAATCAAATAATATGAGGGTTCGTAGGAGATGCCAAATCTAGTCCTATGGCTGGTTACCTCCCTTGTGTTTAGATGAATGAAATTGCTTTATACATTGTCATTTAATCAAATAATGATGTTGTCTCCAACTATTTTAACCTTAGACTGATTTTAGGAAAATGACCCTTTACTTTTGTATTTCTAAAACCATTATCTGTTTTACTGGATATAATGTGAATCTAGGTGAATGTGATTTTTTGTATATTTGATTTATACATATCTTCATAATGATCAAACAGCCAGGTCCCAATGCTAAAAAACTGTTAAGAGTTAACCACTGGTTAGAGAAAAATTCAAATTGTTGGCACTGAAAAACAAGAGTATTTGATGCAAAATTAAAACTCCAAGTATGTCAATCTGACGTGTCTCGACAAATCTTCACACATGACATGATAAAAAATGTTCCTAAGTTTGTTAGATTCATATTTGAAAATTTTCACTAACCACTGGTTATCTCTTACCAGCCTTTCAACACCCAGGTCCGGATCTTTATGTCACTAAATCATGAGTGCTGTCAGATGTTTTCTCCACAGTAAAATAGGTTGCACCCTGATGTGACAATCTGGTTGATTTACATTTGCGATAAACCAGAATTGCTGCCACTGCAATACCAATGAGTGTCACTAACGATATGATAATTGACACCACCACCATGTTGTCACTGTGAACTGATGAACTTTCCATGGACTGATCACCTGAAAAAGTAAGTAATCATCTTTTCATTTTAAATGAAGAATACCACAAATATAGAAAAGCTACAAATAAGGAAAATAGTGCAATGTATTTTCATCATAAATCAAAGCATATTTTTCATGAAAGAGATGGGTTGAAAATAGATAAGACAACATAATGCAACAACTCTTTGAATCAAACTGCTGTAAACACACTTTCATGTCATAGATATAAAACCTACAAAGTTTGAAAGGAATTAATTAATGAAGGAGATTTCCATGATATCGCGAAAAAAACAAGGGGCAGTAACTCTTCCATGCAAAGTTGAATTAGAATGCTGATCAGTAAACACAATTTTAGATATGTCTTGAAACGCAAAGCCATATGGTCTTCTGTAAATGCAGATTATTATGACAGATATTACTCATAGGATTAAACAAAATTTAATTGTCAGGATTAACTTTTAACTTCTTGCAGATGTGTCATAGGTTTTAGAAGATCACATCTGTTTCATGATGCATGTTTGCTTTGTTTTGGTAATATTGAACTACTTGAGGCTTACAAACAACAGGTGAATATCATTGTTAAATTACCTTACCTGATCCAGGGGTGACCCATATCCAGGTAAAATAGTGGTAAACTTACCTGACCCAGGGGTGACATATAGCCAGGTATGATAGTGGTAAACTTACCTGATCCAGGGGTGACCCATATCCAGGTATGATAGTGGTAAACTTACCTGATCCAGAGGTGACATATAGCCAGGTATGACAATGTTCCACACCCTCGTTAATTATGATACAGGTGTACAAGCCTTGGTCATCATGAGAAATATTAGGTAAATAGAGTACTGGTGATTCGTCATTGTCGTACACAGTTGTCTGTAAGATACCAACATCATCAGGGATAAATCACCTTATGTTCTGAGATAATACATGGTCAGTGTCTTAAAATATATGTTGTATTCTGGAGATGATGCAGAGAGACAAAATTGGTAAGCCTCTGACGAGCCACTTTTGTCTTTCTGTTTCAAAACGCTCTATTCATCTGTATTATAATCTAATCATCCTGCTACAATGACTGAAAATCAGACAATGGAGACGTCAACATATTTGTTGTTAAGTCTTTGTTTAGCTGACGTTGAAGTTATGCTGAATTTCACCTGATGACTTACGCCAAAATAATTTCTCAATGCAGAAATATAGTTCTAAACTTCAAAGAATGTGACAGTGATTTTATGAATTTTTGTATTACTGTATATAAATATCAAAAGTAACTTTTTTATAATTGGCATAGAAAATGGAGCATCAACATATGGATTCTGTGGTTTAATTTTAGGTCCATCTTTGATTCCTGCAATATGTAATCTATGACCAAAGGCAATCAGGACGTTGGTTCTCTCCTCCTCCCATGGGGATCTTATCTTTAAAAGTTATTTTCATTGTTAAACATAATCTATATGCTACTTCACAAAGTAATTCTGTCAAATTAAAGTGTTTGCTAAAATACAGTTGTTTTCCGTCACTGCAGTATACAGCAAAAATATATGTGGCAGGTGTATTCCGACAACGGCAGCGCCAGTTGCAGGATAAAACACTACATTTATACAGCAGATATTGACCTTGACCTCTAAGTCTCTAAGAAGAGCCGATACTTCCATCACATGTAGTAATGAAGTGATGGGAGGTCTGTAATACAGAGAATATAAACCAAACTTTCTAATTCTGCTTTAACTGCATGTGGTCACCTACAAACCAGGAAGATATATCAATTCATATCAACACCACCCCATCAATAACTTAATTACCAAGGGGTTACTTACACCTTTACAGTCAGGACAAAAATATCAGTGAAACCGATTAAAGCTCCCCGAAAATGACTTTACTGGACACAAAATTTAATTAAAGGGCAATAATTATATAATTCAGAAGTTGTAAGCCCTGAATTTGGTATACTGTACATTCTCTTAGTATGACTAATGTATACACCAAGTTTCAATAACTCGTAAATTATACAAAAGACAGTTATGATTCTTGTACACTGCACTTCTCATTACTGACATCTATCTACCTATGAATTTTTTAGTTTTAGTGACATGCTTGGGACAAAATTATGACTGATGGAAAAAAGGACAAACAAACGGATTGACAAAGCGGGGACTATAAGGGCATACAAATACATACGGACACTACACTGAATATTGGTTTCCTATTGAAGCATTACTTAACAGACAACAAACACTTTTCACAACATATTTTTTCCTTTTACAGATGTTGATTGTTATCAGAATGCAAATCAGAAATTACAAACTATAAACAAGATGTGTTTATGAAACACTATGCTCCTGGTTGCAACAAAATCAAAATCACTAAGTGACAACAATTTGGCGTCACCAGAAAGGTGTTGTCACAAGGACCACATATGCCAGATGTAAAAGCCATACCTCTTATAATGCAAATGTTATGGCCAAAGGTCACATGGTGAAAAATGTTGGTACCACTGGCAAGTCCTGTTACAGGAACACAAACCCCTACATCTTAAGGAGCAATAGATATTGACAATGTTACAGTTGACAACAGACAGACAGCACAAAAATAATATGCCCCCGATCTTTCGAGTACCTACCTGTATGACAGTATCGTTAGTGATAGATTGGTTGAGAGAATCACGCTTGACCCATGAGACGTGTTTCAATGTGCCCTGGTCAAGTAAGACACTGCATTCAAGTTTGATGGACTCGCCCTGGGTTGCTGTCCTGTTTGAGGGGACTAGGGTCAGCTTCTGTCCACCATCTTGTCCTACATCCTCTGTAATAAAGTGCAGTCATTAAATGGGGTCAAAGATCAAAGTCCATGGAACTTATCCACTAAAATTCAGTGCTTTTTCCCCAAAAGGAGATAGACTGTCTTTACAGTCAATTATGGAAAATAATGGTTTCAAGAATGAATGTCTTTAATTTGTATTATACAGGAATATTATTTCTGACATGCATTCAAAATGAAATAACTAGTCACAAACTTAAAACAAGAATATCAGTAAAACCCAATGAAAGACAGAGAATAAGATTGTGTCAGTGAGATATATAAACTGATAGACAGAGAAATAAGATTGTGTCAGTGAGATATATAAACTGATAGACAGAGAATAAGATTGTGTCAGTGAGATATATAAACTGATAGACAGAGAAATAAGATTGTGTCAGTGAGATATATAAACTGATAGACAGAGAAATAAGATTGTGTCAGTGAGATATATAAACTGATAGACAGAGAAATAAGATTGTGTCAGTGAGATATATAAACTGACAGACAGAGAAATAAGATTGTGTCAGTGAGATATATAAACTGATAGACAGAGAAATAAGATTGTGTCAGTGAGATATATAAACTGATGGACAGAGAATAAGATTGTGTCAGTGAGATATATAAACTGATAGACAGAGAATAAGATTGTGTCAGTGAGATATATAAACTGATAGACAGAGAAATAAGATTGTGTCAGTGAGATATATAAACTGATAGACAGAGAAATAAGATTGTGTCAGTGAGATATATAAACTGATGGACAGAGAAATAAGATTGTGTCAGTGAGATATATTAACTGATGGACAGAGAAATTAGATTGTGTCAGTGAGATATATAAACTGATGGACAGAGAAATAAAATTGTGTCAGTGAGATATATTAACTGATAGACAGAGAAATAAGATTGTGTCAGTGAGATATATTAACTGATGGACAGAGAAATTAGATTGTGTCAGTGAGATATATAAACTGATCGACAGAGAAATGCGAGACCCTTGGGCTATGAAATTCATAATTTTGGTAAAACACCTTAAGTGCTTAAGAGGTTTCCATCCATGCACAGCATTTGATTCTACCCTTTCTGGCTGTAAAGAAGAAGATTTTTGAAAATTTGAGTCCATTTAACCCTTTAGACCCCGCCCCTTATGTCCCTGTGGGTTGGGGCCTGTTACTTCACCATTTTGGTTCATCTTATGCCAGGGAAGGTTTCTGCAAAATTTCATTGAAATCAGTTCAGTAGTTTTCAAGAAGAATTTGAAAATGTTAAAAGTTTAAGATACATGACATTGTCTCAGGTGACATAAAAATACAGAAATTAATTTTGAGTCTAAAATAACCTTCGATATACAGGCCAAAGACCAGTCAACAAATGTCAAGCCATTGTCCACTTCAGTTTAATAGAGAACCGGTTTTCAAAGACAAATTGAAAATACTTGGTAAATGAGACTTGAAGCATTGATATCTGATAGCGAAACTGGGTTCATGGTACAATGAACTCACCAGACAAAACTGTCAAAGTAAATATGACTTCCTTGCTGCCATACTGATTGATCCCGCGACAGGAGTAGTCCCCCGAGTCATTCAAGTGTAACGGAGAAATCACCAGCGTAGTACGAGATATATTGTACCTGTAATCCAACCAGTACAGTTCAAATTACAAAGAATTCACTTTTTAGGGAAATCTAGGTCAATTCAAAATGATGTCATGATTTCAAATTAAGAAGCTGGGAGCCACCATTTATACAAAATACTATCATTCCCACAAGCCCTTGGGGGTTGGGACCCACCATTTATACAAAATCCAATATCTCCCACAAGCCCCTTTGGGCCAGGACCTACCATTTATACAAACTCCAATAATTCCCACAAGCCCCTGGGGGCCAGGACCCACAATTTATACAAAATACAATCAATCCCACAGGCCCCCGGGGGCCAGAAGCCATCGTTTATACAAAATCCAATCATTCCCAGAGGCCCCTGGGGGCTGGGACCCACCATTTATACAAAATCCAATCATAACCACAGGCTCTTGAGGGCCGGGAACCCACCATTTATACAAAATCCAATCATAACCACAAGCCCTTACAAAATCCAATCATAACCACAAGACCTTGAAGGCCAGGACCCACCATTTATACAAAATCCAATCATAACCACAAGCCCTTGAGGGCCAGGACCCACCATTTATACAAAATCCAATCATAACCACAGGCTCTTGAGGGCCGGGACCCACCATTTATACAAAATCCAATCATTCCCACAGGCTCTTGAGGGCCAGGACCCACCATTTATACAAAATCCAATCATAACCACAGGCTCTTGAGGGCCAGGACCCACCATTTATACAAAATCCAATCATAACCACAAGCCCTTGAGGGCCGGGACCCACCATTTATACAAAATCCAATCATAACCACAAGCCCTTGAGGGCTAGGACCCACCATTTATACAAAATCCAATCATAACCACAGGCTCTTGAGGGCCAGGACCCACCATTTATACAAAATCCAATCATAACCACAAGCCCTTGAGGGCTAGGACCCACCATTTATACAAAATCCAATCATAACCACAAGACCTTGAGGGCTAGGACCCACCATTTATACAAAATCCAATCATAACCACAAGCCCTTGAGGGCAGGAAGCCACCATTTATACAAAATCCAATCATAACCACAAGCCCTTGAGGGCTAGGACCCACCATTTATACAAAATCCAATCATAACCACAGGCTCTTGAGGGCCAGGACCCACCATTTATACAAAATCCAATCATAACCACAAGCCCTTGAGGGCTGGAAGCCACCATTTATACAAAATCCAATCATAACCACAAGCCCTTGAGGGCTGGAAGCCACCATTTATACAAAATCCAATCATAACCACAAGCCCTTGAGGGCTGGGACCCACCATTTGTACAAAATCCAATCATAACCACAAGCCCTTGAGGGCCGGGACCCACCATTTATACAAAATCCAATCATAACCACAAGACCTTGAGGGCTAGGACCCACCATTTATACAAAATCCAATCATAACCACAGGCTCTTGAGGGCCAGGACCCACCATTTATACAAAATCCAATCATAACCACAAGCCCTTGAGGGCCGGGACCCACCATTTATACAAAATCCAATCATAACCACAAGACCTTGAGGGCTAGGACCCACCATTTATACAAAATCTAATCATAACCACAAGCCCTTGAGGGCCGGGACCCACCATTTATACAAAATCCAATCATAACCACAGGCCCTTGAGGGCCGGGACCCACCATTTATACAAAATCCAATCATAACCACAGGCTCTTGAGGGCCAGGACCCACCATTTATACAAAATCCAATCATAACCACAAGCCCTTGAGGGCCGGAAGCCACCATTTATACAAAATCCAATCATAACCACAAGCCCTTGAGGGCCGGGACCCACCATTTATACAAAATCCAATCATAACCACAAGACCTTGAGGGCTAGGACCCACCATTTATACAAAATCCAATCATAACCACAAGACCTTGAGGGCCAGGACCCACCATTTATACAAAATCCAATCATAACCACAAGCCCTTGAGGGCCGGGACCCACCATTTATACAAAATCCAATCATAACCACAAGCCCTTGAGGGCTAGGACCCACCATTTATACAAAATCCAATCATAACCACAGGCCCTTGAGGGCCGGGACCCACCATTTATACAAAATCCAATCATAACCACAAGACCTTGAGGGCCTTGAGGGCTAGGACCCACCATTTATACAAAATCTAATCATAACCACAAGCCCTTGAGGGCTGGGACCCACCATTTATACAAAATCCAATCATAACCACAGGCCCTTGAGGGCCGGGACCCACCATTTACACAAAATACAAGAAATAAAGTTATTGATGTTTGTATTTCTAGTTTGATAAAATTATATGAATACTTATTTTATATATTAATAACTCCCAAGCATTCATAAATACACCAAACTGTCTAGCTTGTGTTTACGTTAAATAGCAGGACTTTGTATGATGATATAATGAATACAAAAGTTGAAATAATCAGTCGTTCCTGACCAGCAACTGTCGTTAGGAAAGAGATGGATGGACAGAGTCCAAATGAAACAAGAGATCCCAGAGGGATCTTGGCGCCCACCATTTGAGGATCTGTTTTCAGTTCTTGAAGATTTGTTTATTTTTTTTTGTTTGTTACAGGTGTTGTAAATGTTCATGAACTGGTCTTTATTGAATGTACTCAATGATGACACAAGGTATTTTTATTAAGCACCTATTAGCAAATATCATTTGAAAAAGATCCCAAAGTATTATTAGATAGCAGTCAGTTACAGGTGGATAATGGACAATATGCTTGTGCTGTATTACTGTCGACATCCAAGATGGCTGCCTGTGGGCCACCTTGATTTCAAATCAGTCCAAAAAAGGTACAATGCACAACTAGGGACCAAGGGAAACCAATATCTATGAAATATCAGACAGATCCATCCAAAACTTCCTCAGATATAGCAGTAACAAGATTTTACTCTCAAAATCCAAGATGGCTGCCTGTCAGTCATCTTCATTTCGGATCAGTCCAAAAAGGTATAATGCACAACTTGGAACCAAAGGGAACCTGCATATGAAATTTGAGAAAGATCCATCCAGTACTTTCCAAGAAATAGCAGTAACAAACTTTTACATTCAAAATCCAAGATGGCCACCTGTCGGCCATCTTGAATTCGAATCAGTCCAAAAAAGGTACAATGCACAACTAGGGACCAAGGGGAAACTGCATATGAAATTTGAGAAAGATCCATCCAGCACTTTTCCAGAAATAGCGGTAACAAATTTTTACTTCCAAAATCCAACATGGCCACCTGTCGGCCATCTTGAATTCGAATCAGTTCAAAAAAGGTACAATGCACAACTAGGGACCAAGGGGAACCGGCATATGAAATTTGAGAAAGATCCATCCAGTACGTTTCCAGAAATAGCGGTAACAAGAATTGTTTACGGACGGACCATGGACCACGGACCATGGACGCAGGGCGATTTGAATAACCCACCATCTATTAGATGGTGGGCTAAAAAGGGATGTTAAGCCCACTATTTCGAAAACAAATTGTTGAAAACCAGATATTTCTCTATCTTAGACCATGATGTGACATTGGCTCAGAGATCTATAAATATTGCTCTACCTTGGACTATGATGTGGCCATATCTGACGGCCATGCCTGTACCAGTACAATATGGGGCGTGGTCTGGACGTCATGAGACAGCTGATCTTCATTGTCTCCCCTTCCTTATACTCAAGGTCAGTGACCGGCATGCTAATCAGCTTAGGGGGACCTGATAACATTACAATAAAAAAAATGACAGACATGAATTATCATTTTTAGCAAAGTAAAGATTATTATGTACAAACGAGTAAAGATGCTTATGTACAGCAAAGTAGAGATTGATGCATTTACAAGATGCTACATCATTTTCATTTGTACAGAGTGAAATTCTAAGTTTTTGAGTTTTCTAAGAATTGAGACAGCTCGAGTCAGACAAACTTCCCCAATACAAAGAGGTATTCAAATTACCAAAGATGTGTATAGTATCACTTAGGTCATAAAGTGTGTCAAAGTATTTTTATCAACGGGACTTAGGAAAGTCATGAGAATTAATACAAATTTTGATATGAGGACTGTACCAGAAATATACCTTTAGGTTCCAGCGTTGCTGCTCCAGGAATGACTAGTAAAAGTAAGAGAATGAAAAGCAGCATGTGATATCCATCAGACCTCATCCTTTTCAACTTTATCTACCATCCAGTGGACTGGTCACTTATTCCCCTTCCCTATTTGATTTCTCCTCTTCCTGTGTGATGTCCTCACAGCTGCCAGTGTCATACAAAACTGCTGGTGATAGGCATCTGAATAAGATCAAATCTCATTTACAACAGCTATTATCCAGATCAATTAAAAAAAAACACATATACAAAGACATATACTGTGTAAAGATAAATGAAAGAACAGATGCTCAAAAAGGACATTGCATATATCGAAATGGATAAAAAATTAAGACAACCTTCAATATATCCAAACATGTATGACCAGAAAATGACAAATACAAGGTATACCATAGTGATGAACAGGTAGTTATATAGATACAAGGTATACCATAGTGATGAACAGGTAGTTATATACATATAAGGTGTACCATAATGATGAACAGGTAGTTATATAGATACAAGGTATAGCATAGTGATGAACAGGTAATTATATAGATACAAGTTATACCATAGTGATGAACAGGTAGTTATATAGATACAAGGTATACCATAGTGATGAACAGGTAGTTATATAGATATAAGGTATACCATAGTGATGAACAGGTAGTTATATAGATACAAGGTATACCATGGTGATGAGCAGGTAGTTATATAGATACAAGGTATACCATAGTGATGAACAGGTAGTTATATAGATACAAGGTGTACCATAATGATGAACAGGTAGTTATATAGATACAAGGTATAGCATAGTGATGAACAGGTAATTATATAGATACAAGTTATACCATAGTGATGAACAGGTAGTTATATAGATGGTATACCATGGTGATGAGCAGGTAGTTACATAGATACAAGGTATACCATAGTGATGAACAGGTAGTTATATACATATAAGGTGTACCATAATGATGAACAGGTAGTTATATAGATACAAGGTATAGCATAGTGATGAACAGGTAGTTATATAGATGGTATACCATAGTGATGAACAGGTAGTTACATAGATATAAGGTACATCATAGTGATGAACAGGTAGTTATATAGATACAAGTTATACCATAGTGATGAACAGGTAGTTATATAGATACAAGGTATACCATGGTGATGAGCAGGTAGTTACATAGATACAAGGTATACCATAGTGATGAACAGGTAGTTATATAGATACAAGGTATACCATGGTGATGAGCAGGTAGTTACATAGATACAAGGTATACCATAGTGATGAACAGGTAGTTATATACATATAAGGTGTACCATAATGATGAACAGGTAGTTATATAGATACAAGGTATAGCATAGTGATGAACAGGTAATTATATAGATACAAGTTATACCATAGTGATGAACAGGTAGTTATATAGATACAAGGTATACCATGGTGATGAGCAGGTAGTTACATAGATATAAGGTACATCATAGTGATGAACAGGTAGTTATATAGATACAAGTTATACCATAGTGATGAACAGGTAGTTATATAGATACAAGGTATACCATGGTGATGAGCAGGTAGTTACATAGATACAAGGTATACCATAGTGATGAACAGGTAGTTATATAGATACAAGGTATACCATGGTGATGAGCAGGTAGTTACATAGATACAAGGTATACCATAGTGATGAACAGGTAGTTATATACATATAAGGTATACCATAATGATGAACAGGTAGTTATATAGATACAAGGTATAGCATAGTGATGAACAGGTAGTTATATAGATACAAGTTATACCATAGTGATGAACAGGTAGTTACATAGATATAAGGTACATCATAGTGATGAACAGGTAGTTATATAGATACAAGTTATACCATAGTGATGAACAGGTAGTTATATAGATACAAGGTATACCATGGTGATGAGCAGGTAGTTACATAGATACAAGGTATACCATAGTGATGAACAGGTAGTTATATAGATACAAGGTATACCATGGTGATGAGCAGGTAGTTACATAGATACAAGGTATACCATAGTGATGAACAGGTAGTTATATAGATACAAGGTATACCATGGTGATGAGCAGGTAGTTACATAGATACAAGGTATACCATAGTGATGAACAGGTAGTTATATAGATACAAGGTATACCATGGTGATGAGCAGGTAGTTATATAGATACAAGGTATACCATGGTGATGAACAGGTAGTTATATAGATACAAGGTATACAATATTGTAAGTCTGTTGGAAGGAACAGCCAATTTAATGACAAGACATTTTCCTATTTATTTCCACAAATGCTGATGATGTAAGAAAACCATCCACTACATAGCTTTTACCATACTAAAAATTACATTTGTCTGGTTTGGTCGCTTAGTTCAATGTAGTAGAGTTAAGGTGCTTGGTGCACTTTGATCTAGTAATATCAGATAGAACCCTTATGTCCGAGAGGATAGGGGTTGGAATCATTGTCATTTTAAGCCTATTACAATAAAAAATGTTCCATACAATCCATTTAAGCTTCGGGTAGAGAACCGGACAACATCAGCAGAAGTGACAGTTTGGTGAGACGCTTGGCCCACTTATTTCAAAGATATTCCATGTATCGCGCCTACAATAGAAACGTTCTTTTGTCAACGCGTGTTGTTTACCACAGTGACATGGGAGCTGAGTACAAAACGGAAATTTATATAAATACAATAGTATGTGGCTTTTTCATGACATTGCATAAATAGCGAACACATCCTTGACTGTTTTCGTTTCTCTTAGATTTCCGGTAAAATCACAGGTAGGATGTGTCATATCCTTACCTTCGTCCACGTGCTGTTGCAGACCGGAAAAACAAGGGAGGTTAGTCCAACGTGCTTATGTGCTACTCTATCAATGGCTCTGAAAGGCGGTGACATGATTGATTGACAGGCTTTCTGTCTCCATGATTCTCCCGTGTCCGGGTATCGTCTCACCGACGAACGTCAGTGTTCTGTCTGCGAAGGCCTTCTTGACCTAGATTATGGCTTACCAGGGCTAGGCGATAACACATTTTGTCCTAAATATGAAATAGAGAGTGTGTGTTTTTTACGCTATGTGTGATTTTTTGAAACTTTTCTTGACTGTTTGTAGATACTTGAATAACTTATATTAGCCGGTTTAATTTTGGCAGGGACGTATATGTCTGTCATATACGTCCCTGATTTAGGAGATAAGTGTGTCCGTGTTGATACTGTACAAACCACTGATACTATTTTTATTTAATTAATTATAGGACAATCACAAACGATATTGTGTCGATATTTGAATCACTTTTTTCTCTCTCGTGCAAGTGATATAATACGGTATGCAAAAATTAAGAAGGATTACCTGGTATATCGAGCATATACGTCAGACATTTTTGCTCAATCAATTTGATATGAATACACGTGTATCTCGTAAACATAGTATTGTTTCTAATTGAATCATATTTAATTAATTCTTATGTTTGTACAAGGTACCTACCCATACTCCCCTGCGCATTTTCTCATTGAATCCTTATATATCATATCTTCATTTCTATCATTACGCCATCTTGAAAATGCTCAGTACCTCACAAACGTCTCTGGTATTTTCAATATGATAACTAAATTTCCACAATTCTTAATTCAGTTTAAGACGAGTCATCATATCATTTTATATTATACAATTTAAATTTTGCGTCTTATTGTTTTTTTTTCTTTTCTGCATTGCTAGATACAATAAATATAATTACATGTACTAGATAACATGCACGATCTCCACCCACACCCTCCCCGCCATCACTGACGTCAAACATTTCAGCATCCGCTTTTGATTCCGGACTCTGATTTTCTTTCGGTGCTTTATCAAAAAGTGTCGCAAAAAATCTTTCCGGTATATCCTAGCGATAAACTCGAAAAATGATGGGGGTTGATAATGACGTATATATTGCATTAACGATATAAATTATTGTCCTAAAGTTATTTAATTATACCGTGTGTGATATATTACATACATTTGAATTTTCACATTGATAAAATATCAATATTCTTAAAAAGAATTTAACAGCGGAATAAAGTGTATGGTTGAATTGTGTTGATTTTTTTTTATTGTCATTTCAACGTTACAGCATCACATGACTTGACATAGGTCCACGAAAAATGAGTCTGAGCGTAAAGGCTTGATGATGAACACAACCTACGCAACATTAAGCTTATGTTCCGTGTAACCCCCCTCCCCCCCTCTCCCACCCCCTACTCGCTTTTCCTATTTTCTCGACCGCTGGAAGGCCGAAGGGCTGCAATAGTTGACGTAAATACACGTTAAATATACAAATACATCTGTAAGTGGTCAGAACTGTGGATAGAACTCGTTGCACCGTGGCGATAACTGTGATTTATAACCCCCGTTACATAATTACCACAGGTGTTACCGGCAAGGGTACACGAATCCGTGAACATCTTGTAGATTACCTTTATTACAAGACCTAATAAATATATAAATGGACTTATTTTATGAGAACATCAAATTATGCGGCTACTTCAGGTAAGAACAGGCCTATAAAATGCAGACGTCTCTACCTATAAAGCCGGAAATCTAGAGATAATAATTTCTTTGAAATTGTCAAAAAGCAATTTATGGTCTGAAAATTACCTCCAACAAAGCCTTTAAGTTCTAAAGCCTATTTTAATTAAACACTTTAACACAGAAAGATATGTGTTTCCATTATTTTCCGTCATTCTCTCGTTCCGTTTAGGAGAAGGTCAGATAAGAAGAAGTGGACTGTTCTTTAGGTAACCAATGCTGTGAATGTCTTTGTGAATATGATATGCGAATCCTTATAAATATGAAGGGGATTTCCAAATAGAATATGTTATTTTCTCGTTATTCATAGAAATACTAGAATTGGTATCGGATGTCGCGAATTATCTTAATTGAAATGAGTTTCAAAAATAATTAAGAAATATTATAAAACACGGACTCCGTAAAAGATTTGTCATTGTACATATATGTGGGAAAAACACATCAAGTTCCGGAAGAGCAAGCGTCTTTTGCTTCATCGACGATACCAGTCATCTTAACCTTGTTAATTTCAAGCAAGTGATATCACGTACTCAGATGACAACAAGGTATGCAACAACAGAACCAACAGGCAAAGTAACGAGCATCAAAC